ACCAGCCTTCCCAGTACGATCATGTTTTTTTGCACCAGAGTTGAAGCAGCCAGTTCATTATGTACTAGTTAGAGCAAAACATTGTAATTTTTGTAAAATCGAAAATGAACAATTTCCATTTTAACGATCGTTCTTTGAAAATGACTCCGTTGTTTAGTAAGTGATTTTCCCGCCAAAATTTTTAAATATCGCGAGGACCAAGCGCACCTGGGCACTGGGTTTGGAAACTATAAGTGTGCGCAGACGGAGAATATCCTCTTAAAATTTCAGCTTCCCAGTTTCTCCGATAAGCAAAAACGCCTGTTTTCAGGTGCTACAGTGCTGCACGGCAAAAACGCACAAAAACTGAACTCAAATAGCACTAGACATAAAAACAGCAGAAACATCGACGAGGCAGCACAAACCATTGATCATTCTCAGAAGCGACACACAGAGAATCCCAGCGGCCAAAGATTCGTGACGCCAACTGGACCGCAACACAATGCCGCACACAGCACGATGACTACAAGGCCTCTCACTGTACAGACATGATAACAATCAAAAATTCCTGTTAAATTTAAAAAATTCTAAACCATGGCAATATAAAGAAATTTTAACAATGAAATTCTGATAATCATATAATATACATACGTCACGAAAATGAGTACATTTTTAAAAAACAAATGTTTAGAATTTTTCCGAGTTCAACCAGTAAAGTACGGACAACAGTGGATGCTTCAAAAATACACAGTTCTCTGTTAAAATAATTAGAGGGGTATTCTAAATACTTTGGAAAACAAAATCCCTAGCATGCGAAAAAAGGACCCAATTTTAGAGAAAGGCCCTCATACCCAAAACTGGCATTCTCGATCAAAATGGTACACCGTTTTTGCGAGCATATAATTCAGTGCAAAAAAAAGCACATTGACCCTGCCGGTGCGCAAAGGAGGTGGATTTATCAGGATATTGTCACAAGATTTCGAATAACCAAATCCGACATAATTAAAAAATTGTAGTTTCTGCACCCTTCAACAAAAATCTAAAAACCAAGGAGAAAACTTACATTTTTGACAAAAACTGAAATCCTAGAAGAACACAAGCTCATTCAAGAAAATTGAGAAGTACCAAAAAAAACACTGAAGAACCAAAGTAAACAAATGACATACAACTGAACGAAGCGGATTAATTATTAAAGGATATTTTAAACGAAAAAATTAACTTGTACATTCCCACGCTTAGCTTCCCAATACTTTTTGAGTAGCTTTTCCGCTCAAAAATTCAGCACCTAATGCTAAACACAATCGGTGAGCTTGTTCAAATCCGACGGATATGCCACAAACAAAACCAGCAAAAAAATGTGCTTTCTCTCGCTTTGCAGAATGAAAATGCTAAACTCAAACTTGAAAACTGACAGCTAAATATTCAGACTTAAAAATCGAATCGATCATTTCACTGGAACATCCCGTAATGTTGGAGCTATCAACGGTAGACGGCCATCGATAAGCAACGGCTTTTCCTTGTATACTACCATGCCTTCCGTACTGACTTTCAAATCTGGCGCAACTCCCTCCCAGACTTTTTTCTTCGGATTTAGCACTGGATCTGGCCGCCTGATAAAGCCCTCACAGGAGACGAGCTGTCCTGGTTTGCAGCTCTCATCGAAACGAATCAGTTCAACTTTCTCCGGAGTGGAAGCACACAAAACCATTCCTTGAGATTCGATGCCGCGCATTTTCACTGGCTTTAAATTGCAAACACATACCACAAGTCGATTTTGCATCTGCAACCAAAAGCAGTTGCGAAATTTGCAATACTAGTGGCTCCAAAGAAATTTTTTGACAACGCATGAGCTCAACCTAAGTTGCGACGCACCCCGGGTCTGCCCGTGCGACGACACGTCTTCGCGCTAAACTTGAAGCAAACAGGTCGTTAAAGCATGAATAGTTGCTGAACTTCCGCAATCTGTCATAAATTTTGCATGATGGAAAATGTATAAGTCACGGCAATCGGTTGCCGTTTTGGCCACCGACTTAGTAATTTTCCCGCCAAAAGTTTTACAACACTCGCTAGGTGAGAATTAGGCACACTGACGAGCCAAATTTGAAATTTTATACCCCCCCCCC